TTTCGAAAGGACTTATTTTCGGCTGCATGCAAGATCTATACTCTGAAAAAAACGCTTACTTAAGTAGCATACAATTTGTTCATTTATTTTCGATGCCTTGAAAATTCAATGATATTTCATGAAAAACATGCATAAAAATATTCATTCTTTTACTTATTGGGTAGAAAATAACGTTTTCTTCCAATCTCATACTCAAAAGAAGAGTATAATTCGGTTTTAAATAAGTTTCTAATTGTGAGATTTTTTAGTACCGTCAAATGGCCTTCCATAAAACGGCATGCACCTGCATGTACGATTGTGGCTTGTAAAGTTAACAAAATTGCCCAAATCCACTGCTTAATTTTATGAACCCCATATGGTCTCCTCTTAATACCGTAGAGAAATGCATGGTTTTTCGTACGCGGAAAATATACGGCTAGTAGTTTTGAAACACTGAATGCAAGTGTAACAGCAGCTCGGGCTCAATATTATTAGCGAATTATAAAAGTTTATAAAAACCGAATTATATTCTTTTTCGAGTACAAAATGGGAAAAAGACGTGATTTTCTTCCAATTAAGTAAAAGAATAAATATTTTTATGCATGTTTTTCATGAAATATCATTGAATTTTCAAGGCATCGAAAATAAATGAACAAATTGTATGCTACTTAAGTAAGCGTTTTTTTCAGAGTATAGATCTTGCATGCAGCCGAAAATAAGTCCTTTCGAAAGCCGACACCCTGGGGTAACTGGATCATTATAGATTTATGCTGCATCATGATTAGTTTTACAACACAACTTAATTTATCTTTTCGAAACGAGAACGCATTTCGAAATTTTGGTTGACATTTCATGAGTTAGCACATCTACTGTATGTCTGGAGCTGTTAAACATCAACGAGGGAGTGCCCAAAAAACGAGAAGTATTTTTTCTAGACAAGCAGATTTGCAGTACTGCTCTCTCTCTCTTCATGTACGTTTACTAGACACTCCTCCTGTTCAGCTGTTCAAGTAGCGTTTATAAAACGTATCGTAGCGGATAGGGTGATAGTTTTCTTACCTCCACTTCCAATGATCTCAGTGATTTTTTGTACAGTAGTTGTGCTAACTCGTGAAATACAAGTCGAAATTTTGAAATGCGTTTCCGTATCAGAACGATTACTTAAACAGGGTTGTGAAATTAACCATCATGTAATATAGTTCTAAACTAATTCACTTACCACGGGATGTTGGCTTTCGAACGAACCTCTTGCCGGGCGCATGCAAAAAGCACTCTCTGTAAAAATGACTACTTAAGTGGCATGATTTTTTCTCGCACATTGTTGATTCCTTTAATGATTCATTTACATTTCATAGAAAACATGCAAAAAATATTCATTCATTTACTTATTTGGTAGGAAATTACGTCCGCTTCCAATTTTATACTCAAAGAAAGGGTATAATTCGGTTTTAAAAGTTTCTAAGAAAGAGATTTTTTAATTCCGTGAAATTCCGTTCATAAAACATCATGCCCTAAACATCTACTAATGTGGCTTGTAAAGTTTATAAAATGGATCAAATCCACTGCTAAATTTTACGAATTCTATATGGCCTCCTCTTTATACCGTGGAGAAATGTATGGTTTCCGTACGCGGAAAATATACGCATGTAGAATGGAAACTCTGAATGCAAGTGTAACGGCAGGTCGAGATCAAAATTATTCGGGAATTGGGAAAGCTTTTTAAAACCGAATTATGCCCTTCCTTCAAGTATAAAATTTAAAGAAAACGTAATCGTCATCTAACAAACAAAAGAATGAATACTTTTATGGACGTCTTTTATCAAATATAATAGAATTCCTAAGGGCATCAAAAATCAATGAGAAAAATGCTTGCTAACTAAGTGATCACTTTTTGCAGAGTGTGGTTTTTGCATGCGGCCGGAAAGTAGCTTTTTCGAAAGCCAGTATCCCGAGGTAACTGAATTATTATAAAATTATGCTGCATGATGACTACTTTAGTAATCTTTTCGGGACGAAAACGCATTTCAGAATTTCGGTCAACATTTCATGAGTTGGCACACCTTCTGTACGGCGATCGAAATCAAATTTGAAGTCCATGATGGTTTGTTTTTTTCAACACCAAAGGGTTTGTTTACGTTGAATTTGTTCCTCGTGTCACTGCGGTGAGCCAACATTACTAGGTGAGGGAGCTGAAGGCATTGGAAAAAAGAAACGACCTGAATTGTGGAGGTCAGGGGATTGGCTGCTTCATTT